TATATATATATCATTTAATGTTTTTAAATTTCACATGTCTGGCCTCATAATTCATTTCTGGCCTCTTATAATTCTTGAATCAGACAAAATTTCWAATGTTTTCCTGATGAGAGTGGATTTTCCTGCACTCGTCTTCAGGTACATGCATGGTGATCGGCTGCATGATTTATCCTGACGGCTGGGACTCTGACGAGGTGAAGCGCATGTGTGGCCAGCGGACGGACAAATACACTCTGGGCAACTGCACCGTGCGCTGGGCCTACATCCTGGCCATCATCAGCATCATGGACTCGCTCATCCTCTCCTTCCTGGCCTTCAGCCTGGGCAGCCGGCAGGACAAGCTGCTGCCGGAGGACTTCCAGGTGGAGGGAAAAGGTACGAAGGGGAGAGGCAGACTGTGTGTATACGTCACAAATAATAATAACACAGTTTTAAACCAATGAAATTGCATTTTTACAGATAATGCAGTGTAAATGCTGAGAGCTGAATTTTACGGAGGAGACTGAAACAACGTTATTCAAGCTAAAAGAAAACGGAACACTGGTTAAAAGATAAAAGTTGCAAAACACCATCTAAAAGCAGCTAGATAGAACTAAAAATCAAAAGATTAACATAGCAAAAGCTAGTAGCTAGAAGCTAAAAGTGGCAAAAGGCTAAGTAATGCTAAACGTAACAAAAAGCTACTCAAAAATTAAAACAAAATGCTTAAAGTAGCTAATAATGGCTAATAAAGATAAAATAAAGAATCTAGGTAAAGTTAACAAAGGCTAAAAGCAGTGGTGGGCAGCACTAATCTAAAAATTAGCTCCACTAGCCCTAAAACACTAAGTCAAATATTTAGGTCCCCTGATTCTAAAGCACTAATGCACTGAAAATTTTAGCAAAACTAATTGTAAAGCACTAAAATAACTCCATCAACCCATGAACATTCTTCAATAGACAACATGAGTCACATGTTGCTCTCTTAAGACTTATCATTGACATGCCACAGCTGTATTTGGGTTCATATACAGTATTGTCACCTGGTGGATAAGTGACACACATATGAACAAAATGTGACAGCTTTCACCCTCAGCTGTTAACAATAATGTTGATCAATAACATTTATAGACCTCAGTTAGTGATTCCAAATTTAGCCTATAAATTCAGCAAGTGCTAATCCACTAATAAATTCTAAAATTACAAAAGCCCTAAAGCACTAATCAGGAAATTAGTTCCTCTGTTAGTGTTTAGTGTTTTAGGGCAGAGGTTCTCAAACTGGGGTCCGCAAGAGGTATCCTGGGGGTCCTCAAAAAATTTCACTAAATTGTTAATTTGGGTTTTATTTTTTTTAATGCATAGGGAAGAA